TGGATATTACTTTATGATACAAGTATGTTCAGCTCTATCTGCTACATCTATCTAAACGCGATGAAAAATCTTACTACCGTGTTTAAAACTTAAACTGATTCATTTGTAATTGCCTGAATTTAACTTAATTAAAAAATAATTAGTAAAAAATTGTGTAATTTTAACTGATATAATCTAATACATTTATTTAAAAAAAACTAGAAATATTCTTATAAATTACAAAAAAACGTTAATCCTCTTTTACAAGGACTATTTCGTGATTGTATTATTATAGGATGCAGTTTCTCTCTTTGCGTAAAAAAATATTACATTTTTTGCGAATGCTAAACATCCAGTGTGTTGAGTTCGTTAGAATTTTTATCGCTTGAGTCCTCCTCCATTTTTTCTAATTCTTCTCCTATTTTGTTCGTATAATTTGCGTCTAGTACAATCACTTTGTTTGGATTTTCATTGTAAATCTGTCTTTCAGTTTCTAAAAATTCCTCATGCGAGGCTCCCATATTCTCTAATGTCCTGCGTTTCCTTGATATTTCATCGCAAATGTTTTCTTTTAAGTCTTGTAATTCTTCATGCGAATTATCATTTTTTATCGGACTAGGATCTGCGACTACTGAATCTATTGTCTCAATTTTGATTTGAGTTTTATCGCGAATCTTCTCTGGCAGTGCCTGCAATACCTTAACTTGCCGCGGACTAAAAGCGAGTGTTGGATTGTGTTTGTTCGGATATTTTTGACATTCTTTCTCTTTCAGTTATTGTAACTCTTCACGCAAATCTTCAATTTGTTCAATATGCGCTCGTTTCACTTTTGCCAACTAAAAATTATAAATTGAAATTTAATTATTGATGTGATTAATATATCTGAATTGATAGCGCACTTGACTCACCTTTGATTCAAATACTCGTTTTTGACATTCAAGTTCCTGTTTCAGACGATTTTCAGCTTGTTCCTTGGTTGCAGTCAATGTTTTTTCAAACGAGTCCACAAGTTCATTTCGAATTTCTTTTTCTTGCCGCAAGAGTTCAGAATTTATCCTAATTTGGAAATTATTTACTTCGTTTATCAGTCGATCATTATCATTACGCAGCCTATTTGAATAAATAATTTATATATTATTACATTCCAAAAGAGTTAGGGTATTTTAAAACGTACAAAATATTTTCTTCGAGTAATTGCTCAATGTAGGCATTTTGTGCACTGCCGGACTTGGAAGGTTCCAAAAAGAATGAAAATCTTAAGTTATTTTGCTTCACAATTGGTGGTTTGAAGATAATATTCTTAGCGATTGAAGAGAATCCCAAAACATTTAAATTTTCTTCATAATATTTTTCAGTGGGTGTAACATTAACCACCATGACAATTTTCTCCTTTCCTAACAGTGGAGCTTGCAACAACATCGTAAGTTTCGATTCTCGGTAAGGAATAACCTCAGTATTCTTCTTACGATTTAAATTATTAGCAGCATCAAGACAGCGACCCAGAATCATCAACGATGTATTGATACGTTGTGTTTCCTTAAGCCGTGAACCGACATTCCCAGTTTTGTCAAGTCGTTCAGAACCAGCCAAGTCACAGAATTTATAAGATATCTTCAAATACAAAACAAAAAAATAATGGATAAAATCATTTGAATGATAGTAAAATAGTAAAATAACTTACTTCTGTTATCAAACCTGATGCATTGTACTTTAGCACGTCAATGATGAATATACAATGCGACCGGCTGGAGTTTGCATTGATGGAAGTAGAGGCGTAAGTGACACGTTGTAAGCCAAAGCGCAGCAATTTTAGGGCTTCCAAGCTATTCTTCACATAAACTTGTGTTAATCCTTTCACGAAAACTTTTCCATCGTTGCTAACAATTTTAAGATTCTTACGAGACGGCACTGTAATTGTTTGATTAGATGCCGATAATTCCAGTAAATCATAGACAAATTCGTTATAAATTTCAACGAATGACACCCAAATCATAACAAACACATCATCGAAAACTGTGGTTTCAAAATTATGATCTGAGCATATGATTTGTTGGAATTGCTTATGTACTGAGGTTATATCTCCGCAAGCTGTGAGCACTTGATGAGTTGAAATTATTTCCTTGGCAACAAGTTCATCCTCTAAAATAACTACGCGAGCATTTTGTAATTTAACTGCCGGGTGCGGATTTATATTGGAATTGTATAATGTGAAAATATTCTCAATGGAACGCGGCACAATACCAGGATTAACCCTGGACGCATAATGTACGTAAATTTGACGTACACGTTTTCGTTTTTTACAGTTATTTCATTTTTGTGTTCATATATTGGTCTCGCGCTCTTGATATGTTCAGTCGGGATCTAACTCTTGCGTAAGGTATATGATAAGTGTCGGTAAGTCATGACATAAGTTAGATATTGAGTCGTTGTACGTCATTTTTACGTATGATTATACTTTGTGTAACTTTTATGGCTAATAAAGTATTTTGAAAAACTTTTATTTCTTTCAAATTTCAGTAAAGTTTTAATAGAAATGGAATCAAAGAGATTTAATATTGTTGAAATATTACAAAAAGATGAAGAAAATGATCAGAAAGGTGGAAAATCTAGTTCTAGTCGAACATATTGTGCATTCTGTTCATATAAGAAAAAAAGAATGACAAACATTAGATGTAGTTCTTGTAAAAAGCCGATTTGTAGAGAGCACAATCGTGATACATGCTTTAAGTGTATTTCTGCATAGGATTAATTATTATTATATAACTATAAATTAGCTGATTTGAACGAAAAGTTCCTAATAATTTTAATTATTTTCGTAACATTTATGACGATCTCAATATGACTTGCTATTTGTATAAGCTAACTTTAAGTTGTTCATTTTATAAGTATATATAAATTTCATTTACTTTTTTGTTTCTATTATTATTTTTTGATTTATTCTAAATAAAAATAAAAAAAAATATTAAGAAATATTGAAAATTTACTCTTAATACATAATTTTGAAAAATGCAATTCCTTTTTAAGTGAAAAGCATTGGCATATTATATTTATTATGTTTATTTAAAAAATGTGTTTGAAAGTATTACTGTTTTGTTTTAAATTGAATAAATAAATACTTCTTTAAAAACTTGTAAAAAACTTGCACACATTTAAATTAATATAACGGCAAAATATAAACTCTGAAAATTGCACGTCATTTTTACGTATGATTATTCTTAACGTTAGTAGAATTATGATTATACGTCCAGGGTTAACGTCATCGCCTAAAGAAACAATTATTTTTAAACAAATCATATAATTTTACTTTAATTGAATTTTACCTAATAGTGTAAAAGTCTTTCCGGAACCAGATGTACCATAAGTCAGCACTGTGAAACTTCCCTCCAATTTTATTTTGTCACCTATACACTTATTGTATACGCCCTTTTGACTATCATTATTATCGAATATCGCGCTGAAGGTAAAATGTTTTTCCATTGCTGCTTTATTGTTCACCACAAGAGTATTTCCCATGCCTGCAATTTTATATGACGATGAAGGAGAATTAACAGGACGCAGTCGTAGATACACCATGGCCCTATCTTCTCCAATAGTACTTGTTTTCGATATGTCACCACTTGCTTTGAATATATTCTTCGGACATGGACGAAATCGCCGATCTATGCTTGGCTCGGGTCCATTAATGAACGAGAGCACGTTGCGTTTTGTTGTGTCTTCGTCTCTGGACATTTTTTCTTTATTATAACAAACAAAAACATAAAAAACAATAACACAAAAATACTTTGAAGCACTAAATTTAAGTTTGTTTAAGTATTGTTTATTTCTCCAGGAAAATTAACAAACTTGCTTCCAAACACAATATTGGTTAAAATGGTAGCTTTGTCAACAGTTAATGAATTATTTTTAAAATGTCCGCGGCGATAGCGAAATCAATATTATCCAATGTACAATGAAAGCCGCTGTAATATTTGTAAGCGATGCTGTGTTTATAAAATTAAATTTATTTAAAATTTAAATATTGTATAGCGTAGCATTAAACCACTTTATGGTTTTAAATAAGCATCCATAAATTCGGCTAAATTATTCAGGCCTATTCTGAATACTCCCAGCGAAAAAACTCCCTATTCGCACGCTGTTCCCGAACACACAGCTCCCTTATTCTGAATCGCTAGGGAGACAGCAGTTTCGTGAACAACAACAATTTCAAATTTGTTTTGTTAAATTTTGGCAACCATGCCACTTTTTAATGACGAAAAGTGAGAAAATGAGCAAAACAAAGAAAAGAATTGCGTATCATATGTTGATTTAAATGTAAAAATCGCATTATTTGTTTGCTGCACAAATTATCGGAAATAAATATAAGTTATTTTATGAGTAAATAATAAACAATTAGAAACTTTTATTTTAATGATTAAAATAAATATATAAAAATAATTATGCATGAGCAAAATAAACCAAATGCTAAATTCTAAATTTTTAACTCTTTTTTAAACTAATTAAAAAACAACCTTACGTTATGATATCAATTCTTCAATGTCTTTATTTTCAAACATTCACTGCTTTTATACAAAATTTGCGTAAATTATAATTTACTTTTTTTATATAATTAGGATAGAAATGTCCTTCATGCTTAAATTAATGAACTAATACTAGTTTATACCTATAAAGATCTTACAATAAAAAAGAAGCAATGGTTTACCTGCACATAATTGCAGTTTTAACTTATTTTAACTTATTCTAGGAATCCACTTATTTCAGAATTTGGTTTCCTTTCATTTTTCTATTGTTTTAAAAACAATAGTTAACACTTTAATTAGTGGAAAAAACCCGTGTGAATAAAATAAATAAATAAAAACTTAAATATTTCAAATTTGTTATACTTTTATTAAAATAATAATTTTAATAAAATATATTAAATGAAAATTTTGTTATATTAAATTTATTAAAATATATTCGGAAAACTAATCAAAAAATAAAACTTTGAAAATATTAAATTTATTGTAATAATTTTATTATAATAATAATTTTATTAAAATATATTCAAAAATCTGATCATTTTCAGTTACTTTTATATTAAATTAAACTATTTTAACTTGTCTCCCCAACAATTTGGTAGCGAGAGAATTGCATTTAAAAATAATTTTATTATTAACAGAAAGAGAAAATAAAAAATTTTAAAACTAACAGATTGTAGATGCATTGTCCGTAATTTTCAAGGAACGATTTGTGATACTGGAAGACGTTTCAACCAGTTCTGTGTGATTATGATATTCCGAATTTTCATTTAGATCTATATAAAATTTATAAATAATTTAATTTATTTATGTTGATTTATATTTGAACAATATGGAAATAAGCATGATAAAAAATATATATGAATACGTTGAATACTGGTACTTAAACTAAACTAGTAAAGATATTTACGCCGAACTATGTCACTTTGAAAATACTTATTCTGTCTTGATAAAATTATAGTTTTATGTTCAAATCAGTTATTTATCGCAGTAGTAATTTATGGTATATAAAATAAAAATAAATTGTTTCGTATGGTTAGCATAAATGTTTTGATTAAACTATGAATACAAGGATTGTGGCAAAGTTTTTGGATCAGAGTTTCTTAAATACCGGTTCGTGAAATATTGTATTTTGGTCTTATTTTTTGCGAATTTATAAGTACTGAAGGTTGCAAATTGGAATGAATATTTTACCGGCCGGTTTGAGTTGAAAAACATTGCTCTAGATTGCAGCATAAAGTTTAATCCAGGTATGTTGCTTTTTCTGCAATTACCGTCCTCATTCCAACTCATCTACGTGTGCTTTTAAGAGAGAATGACTTGTTAATGCACTAAATGTAATTATACTTTGTTAATCATTTTAAAGGAGAGTCTTAGTAAGTTTTCTGTTAGGAGAGCTCGAGTTGATTATCGTTAATGTACAGGTTGTAATAGTTTACCATCTGTCTTTTGTTTTAGTTGTGAAAGAATGTATAACACTGATTTATAAATATTTGATTGCCATGTTAATGTCAGTGTGATTGTTCAGTTGTAAGTTTGTGTTACCTTACCCAGTTATTCAGTTACTTTCTTATCTCCTGTTTAAAAAGTTAATGAATTGAATCGGTTTCTAAAAGAGGTACTGTGTGCATAACCTTTACTCTTTTGACAATACTGGTAAAGTGATAGTTTTACAAAAAACATATGAATAAAGAAAAAGTGAGTTCAATCTGAAAACCTTTAGTGTAAATATCTACTAAAAACTATATTGATTGCTTTTGTTTAAGCTTAAGTAACAAATATATTTAGACTTTGATTAAAACCAAAAAGAATGTTTTTATAAGAGATATTTATATACATATATCTTACTTACACTTTTCCGGTGATATATATGAGCCCTTTACATTTTTCTTCTCAACAGTCCACTGTTCTGCATCTTCATCAGATAATGCTAATGGTTTAAGTATACATATAATTGAAGTCTTGATTATGCATTGAAAACAATACTTGGAAAAATATACTAGGCTCGAAAAGTAATTTCGTTTTATTTTTAAGGAGGATTTGAAATTTTTATTTTTCGCATTTAATTTCACGCTTAAGCCGCATTGAAACTAAGACAACAGAAAGCTCTGCGGCATAAAATACCGATTCTTAATTCTTAACATCATCACAAGGTTAATTTACAATTGTGTTTTTAATTATATTTAATTTAATTCTCAAGAAAAAGGTTAAATTTTGAAGCTAATACTCATTGTGTATGAAAAAAAGGCTATATAGAGTATCAAACGAACATTATAGGCTAACTATAATTAATTAAATTGGCAACTCACGAAAAGCATTTATAGGTAGAATTAAATGTATTAGAGCAAGAAAACATAGAAGTATTAAATTCTAAAATTATGCTACTGCTACAAACAGAGCAAAATGATATTGAACCAAAATAGAGAACATATTATTCAAATACTTATGCCATATTAAAAAGCTATAAAAATAAATAACGAAATTCTGAATAATCCCGCATTAGTAATAAATTTTTAACTTTTAATCACTTGCCTTTAGTAACTTTAATTAACATCTCTTGGATCGAATTATTAGTTATTTTGGGTATTTTCCATATCCAACCGTCGTCATTCCAGCAACGAGTATAAAAACTTTCACGAGAAATTTGTAGCTGTTCATCGCCATCAATGCGCTTTCCATTCATATTAAAATAATCTTGTACAATTTCATTAAAATTAGTATTCACTGCAAGATCACTCCAATGTAAAAACTTTGGTGATATATGTTGTAAATCACTTAAATCAAGCTTTACATCATTTAACAGTAAATAAAGGAAAATATCACTTATGCGCATATATAAATTAAACGGCCATATTTCTTTTTTAATCGTGGATTCATAAATTTTGAATAGTTTTAGTTTATCATTATAAATATTAGACAATTGATAAATATTTGTGAACTTGCAGAAATCTTCGAACGATATATGCATCAATGTGCGCAGAACAGATTGTTTTGGACCAAAAGAAAAGCGAAGTACATAGGATAAAGTACATTTCTAAAAAAAGAATTAGTAAAATTATATAAATTTATTCATTATAAGTTCATTTCAATTACCAAAGGAATTGGATCGAACAACTTATTGAATATTTCCATGTTTTCTTCAGGTATGACTGGCGATTGTTCATCCAATGTTATTTCATTTTCAATATTTGGTGGCACAATCATTTCTATTGATATTATTTCTATTCCCGACTGTCTTTTATGTGGTTGTTGATGTATCATAGATTTCTCGACAGCATTATCTGCAACAGCTTAAATTTGTAATAATAAAAAATATAAATGTTTTGAAAATAAATAAAATTTAATACAATCAATTTTATCAGTTAAATAAGGTAAATCACAAAAAGAATATTTATTCTTCTTACCATGATCAATTCGTTCCACTACCGTTACATCTTTCGCTGCCTTAATTTCTAATGCTGGAAAATTTTAGATTTTTTAGTACTAAGTAATACAATTAATCAAGTAGAACTCACCTAATGAACATTTTTCCATATTTTTACCTTTTTTGCTGTTTCCTAATTTTGTTTTCTTATTTAAATGTTCCTTCGTATTAGCATTTATAACATCTCTATTACTTACTGTAGGCTCTAAAATAAATATTACTTAATAGTAAGGTTTGTGACAAAATATTTTTATTTACCTTCATGATCTGACGTAATTTCTGGATATTTCAAAATATCGTCCTTAAAACGTCCTGGACATGGTTTTATTTTCAATGGAAATATTGTCCGAATAACCGTTTGCATGTAAAATGTTTTGTAGTAACTCCGAAGTAATTTATTATTATCAAATAATTCTTCTTTTGATATATTTGAAATTGGCAACTCATACTCCAACTCCTTTATGCTTTGGCAAATGTTAGCAATAACATCATTGTGAAAAGTTAACCTTTTAAACGTTTCAAAACTGACTGGAAGGTTGCACACTTTTTCATTTGTTTCTTTGTTGTTAGCATCAAAATTTGATATAATACTATATTTATAAAAAATTCCGTTTTAATAAAATAATTTATTTATTTAAATAACTTAAATACCTCTTTAGTCCCAGGATCTTTTCTTCTAATATCTTTTTATCGGTAACGCTATAATGCACATACATGTTATCGCATGCTCTCACTTTATAGGGTTAAGTATAAAACAGTAAGTTATTTTGTAAGAGAAAATATAGAGAACAAGTTAGAATTTAAATTACGATCTGAGCAAGCTTTGAGTAAAAAGCTTTATTTGTAAGCTCAGACCATTTGAATATAAAAGCAAGAGCATCGCTCACTTTGTTGGATTTTGTCGGCTAAGCATTTTAGAGTAAATATCGTAATATGTAGAACGTTGAAGTTTTCATTTTTAGTTTTAAGTTAGTTTTAAGTTTTCATTCTTTTGTACGGTTTTAAGAGGGTTAGAAGCGAATTCTACCCATTAATAAATATATTTTTTTAAAACATTTAACCGAACACGAATGAAATAATTGGCGCCCGAGCAGGGACACCGGAAAAAAATCTCGAATAAATAAAAAGAGATTTCGCGTGTGTCAAAGAAAAAATCCCTGCAATATATACCACTCGATAACAAAGGTGTTTGCAGTGGATTAAAAACTAACAAGTATCCTAATAAAGGAGAAAAGAAAACCTTGAAAAAAGGTGTTATACGTAAAGTGATCGGAAGTGATTTGAATAAAACATTTGGTGAACTAATAAAGTGAATAACAAAGTGGTGAAAAATTAAAAGTAACCCAAAAAAAGGTTAAATCACAGAAAAGCCAAATTTAATAATAAAGAATCGCACAGTCACGAACACTAATCAAAATAATTTAACAAGAAAGTGACTTAATATAATCAGCCGCTTGAAATAAATTATTCATAAACTGTCAACCTGAACTGAGTCCAAGGTATACAGGAAAGCAGTGGTCCCGATATAAAAATAATAAGTATCCTCATAAAAGAGGAGAAGAAATTTAAAAAATATATATAATAATAAAAACAACAAATAATAATAATACATAACTCAGGATGGGAGATATCATAAGCGACGAGGAAGCCCGCAGGATTCAACTGTTGATACAGGAATCAACCGATCGGGAGAATGAGAATATGGACGATGATCACAAAGCCGTCCTAGAACAATTACGAAAACGATCAGCAGCCGCTAAAGCAGATCAACATTTAAAAAATCAAATTTTGAACGAGGAACGCGAAGCCGTCCTAGAACAATTACGAAAACGATCAGCAGCCGCTAAAGTAGATCAACATTTGAAAAATCAAATTTTGAACGAAGAACGCGAAGCCATCCTAGAGCAGTTACGAAAGCGATCAGCAGCCGCTAAGGTAGATCGGCATTTGAAAAATCAAATTTTGGAAGAACTCAAAGAAATTAAAAAATAATAATATAAAAATTTATTATTTTATACAAAAAGTGAAAATATTCGCGATACTAAAAATTAATAATAAATCGATATAAAATAAAATTACGATAAAATAAACACAAACATTTTCATTAAAAACATAAAATAAGTGTTCAAAAAAGCGGTATTGAATAAATTGAATGATTTGAAAGGATATAAAGGCAATTAAAAAAAAAAAAACTATTTTTGAACAAACAATATTGAAAATAATGTTTTAAATAACTGTACTACAGTCAAGATAATTGATCCAAAAACCAATAAAAATATGGCCATTAACTAAGAATCGTTAATAGACGAGCATCAACAAGAATTACAAATTGTACAATGGACTACACAAGGTCTTACAACAGAACAACATCATCACTCTCAGGAACATCATTTGCCACATTCCTAACGAATTGGTAGAGGTATTCGTTTCATAAGAAAATAACAATAATGAATAATTGAATTTTTTTTACAATGTATATGACTAAAATATGTAAGATATGTTCTAATACAATTTACATATACTTATAAAATTTAAATTATTACCAAGAAATAATATAATAATTCTTACACTTAAAAAAATGTACATGAATCTGTTGAAAGCTTTAGAAATATCTAATATAAAATTAGCATAAAAAATTCGAATATTAATAGCTTAGCAAAAAAATATTACTAAATAAAACTTCACTTTATTTTTGGAAACTCTTAAGATTAAACAATAATTTAATGAATATTTGGGTAAAGCCTTATGTATAGTTGCGCTAGCCGAACTTCGAAACAATTGTATTTCAATGATAAAGTAAAAGAAGTATTACACCCTTTTAAACAATAATTTCATATTTAAGTAAAATACAGAAATCCGCATGGAATTACGGAACTTCAAAATACAGGATAAAAATATCCTCAGTAGCCCAAAATTATATCGCTTAACCAAAAGTACAAATATTTATATAACGTAATGTTTTATTAACCACCTAAAAAATTGTTGATAAAATAGAGAATACTATTTATAGAAATTATAAATTTAAATTATTTGCGATACATAGGAAGCATTATAACAATAATAATAATAATCATACCTCATGATAAGCATGTAAATTAAAACTAATTTTATATAAGTTAATATGAACTCAGGTATTCAACACAAAAGGATACATATAAGATATGTAACCTGTATGAACGTTGTATATAAAAATAAATAAAATAAAATATAAATCCTACCAAAAATACACATTCTTTTTGTCACAAAAATATATTTAAATATATACTAGATTTTCCCAAATATAGAAAACAGTGGAGTAATAATAAATAGAAAATATAAATTTCGAGATAGAATTCTAATAGAAGCCAAAATTGAATTAGAAATTTGAAAATAAAATTAAATGAAAAACACTTAATACAAGTATAATAATCTCTTAGTTTTGATTAACCATTGTAAAATAAATTATCAATATCTTGAACAACATAGAATAATATGGCAATAACAACAACCAAACAAATAAAAATGAAATATATATATATATATATAAATGAAATAACAACAATAATTAGTTAATATGATATCGTAACAAAATTATTTAAAGTCAATAAATAATAGAATTTCAACAATAAACTATTAATACGTATTAAAAATATAATATATTTAGAAACGCAACAATTAAAAATACAATAAAATGTAAGATTTAGCAAAAGTCTTAATAATTCTCACGCTTTAAAGCAAACATATGGTAATAATAAAAAGAAAGAAGAAAAACGATATAATAATCAATAATATATATTATTATATAAAAATAATGATAAAAATATATGAAAAATCTATTGTAGATAAAATAAATATATTTGTAGAATGAAAGAAATAATATACAGAAAAATAAAAAACGACAACGACTGACGTTTACGACGAAGTTTACCGACTTTCCCCAACGACTCAAAATTAAACAATATTAAATAATATTCCGGGACAAAACAAGCCTGGAAAGCCAGCCGATGACAATACCGGTAAAAAATAAAAATAAATAAAAATAAAAGGAAAATATCGATATAAAAATATATAAAAGAAATATATATATAAATATAAAGGTATCCACCTTGGGATAAAGAATATCCTAAGGCGCCAGCCGAAGAATTTACCGGCAATATAAGAAAATAGTTATATAAATTACATAAAGATACCTCCTTGGGATAAAAAAATCCTAAGGCGCCAGCCGAAGAAATTACCGGCAACATATTAAATGAAAAATATAAAATAAACATTGATAAATATATTACCTTGGAAAAACTCTAAAGTTTGAGCCGAAGCAACTATCGGCAATATATAAATCATGAATCAATTCCAATATTATTTTACATGTGAAGAATGAGGCTCCTTAGTAGCTTTATTAAAATAAAGAGGAAAAGGGGATACATTTAGTATCAGCCACTTCATTGTATTATAAAAAGAAAGTGGGAATCCGAACAATTGTTGAAACTCCTATATGGAGTAAACAATGTTTATATCTAACTTTCGTGGAGGATGTCATAACAATAATATATTAAACCCTAATGGACAGAATAAAAACAAGTTAGAAAATGTATTATTTTAGCTAGACCCACAGCTACTGAAGACTTTTCTGCTACCGTCAAAACTGTCTCTATAATAATTAAAGTATCCAAGAGTAAATTAATAAATTAAAAATTCCAATATTTCTAATAATAAATATTCCCTATTTAAATTACCGAGCTATATACGAACTTGACGATCAATGACTATGACTAATGACTTCATATAACAAGAAAAAATACAAAAAAAACAAAAAGATATATATAAAAAAGATAATAATTAAGTAAAACAATTAATTAAGTAATAAATACAATACAATGAATATTCGATATATATAAAATAATATTTATAACATACACATAAAATAAAATAGAATATACGAAAACATATAAACATATAAAAAACAAATTATCTATTACATTATTAAAACCCCCTAAACCTAATACAGCAAAGACATGTATTGGTGACATTACATTCTTAAGAATCCCATTGTAATAAGTAACTAACAAAAATATCTTAATTAGAATAATTATGCGATACAAATAAATACTATATATTTTATATTTGACCATAAATTTAAGCGCATTCTTGAATACACAATATCTTATACGAATAAAATTAAGAAATGATTTATAGTCAATCATACAATAAAACTGAAAAATGTATAACCAACAGACATAACATAACATAATATTGTATTAACATATTAAAAGCAAATAAAATATAAAAAACACACCAATTGGCGAGGCCCCAATTCTTAAGAAAGAGGGGGTACTGATATGAAACAAAATTAATTAATGTTTAAATTAACTAATGTAACAAATATATATAAATATATACAATATGAATCTGACAGAGATTCCGAAAATTATTTAATGAAGTATCTTTAAAAGCTAATTTAAAATTACATAAAAATTAATATATTTCTTTTTCTTCACTTAATTAATTAATAAAATTCTTAACCACAGAACTGTAACGGTTATTAAATTTTTAACTTCCAATTATAGCACGTAAATACTTAAATCTTAGTTTGTCATTTTGAAGAAAGCATGGTAACGAACCACTTAGATATTGTGCCTAACCAATAAATAACTTATAGAAGCCTAACGATCCGTTTATAAATTTCTTTCATAGTACTAGTTATCATTCACTAATAAACAAATCTTTGTCAAATTCTAAAATAGATATAATAACTAC